ATTGCGTCCTGAGATATTATTTCCTAACAGAAATCTATCTATTTTGTAGTCTTAATGTCAGACTTTCTGTCCTCCAAGTCTTCATCATAAGCATCATCGAGTCTGTGAGCAAACAAACATTGCAATAATATTTGAATGTATGACTTTGTCGTTTTTTAAATAAGGTTTACGTGTGTACAAGTGACAAGCAGTAAAATAAATTTGTTTCCTTCTTGATCACGTACAGCATACATAAGCAAATATCTGAAGGCTCTTATTTGGAACTACCTATATTCTCCTTACGACGCGTGGATGAATATTTTAAAACAAAGTCATTGCTGTTTACTACAAATTAGTTTTGTTATTTTTGTTGCATGATAGCAAGTGTTCAATTTTGACAAATCAGTCATGTTCCCTGAGAGCTCATTAGTTTCTTTTTTTTAAAAAAAGTATGGAAACTAATTGCAAGCCACTTTCAATATTTCTTCTTGAGAGGAAACTCCCTTTGAGAGCAGTATGGGCTCGAGGCAAAGAATTCTCATTCAAGCATTGGGTTGCTGGATAAATAAAAAAACAAGAGATCTAATACAGTAGGGGAATATGGGATTAATTTTGAAAATGCTTGATTAGTGCATTGCTGCCCTCCAATAATTGCCTTTTGTTTTCCCTAGGCTTTTAGTTTATTGCAGTTTGGCATCTGCATTGGTCTGTGAAATCTGTCACTCAGCACAAGCAGCTGGGCGGTACTGCTGTACAGAGACCACTATTGAAAATCTTCTTTGCTTTGTCTCGGATGTATCGAGACAAAGCAATACAGCAGACTCGAAACGTTGCTTCTTCTTTGCCGTTTGCATTCGTCTAAGTATATGGTGAGCCGTTAGTGTTCCCGCATATGTCGCTGTAGAGGCAGAGCTGAAAATGATTTCACTGGTTTTAAATTCATTTAAATTCAGTTAAAAGTTCGTATAAACTGACCCTTAGCAAAGCAGTAACATATAGCAGTTTGTTTTAAGTGTCTGGACTCCCGCTGATTGCATTTCTCGCACAAAGATATGAAAGGCTCGATTAGTGTTAAGTTCCTTCTTTTAACAAAACATTTTTTTCCCCCCAAAACACTATATTCCCCGGGCTGATAATTACCAAATTTCATAGTTCCAAACATCATGGATCAAGGTAAAGTATATTGCATAAGAAAAACTTTTTAGGCGAACAGATAATAATTGAGTCCTATCTTTAAAATGAGAAATAATCCCATAACAATCCTTGCATTTGATATAGGGCCTAAGCAAGTCGGTTCAAAACGCTTCACAGGATATCCTGTAAAATGGTGTGGCTGTGTATTTTGTGGTCGAACAAGAGTCAATTTTACGCACAGCAAAGATCCACAAATAGCCAAGGAGCGAGTGACCAGTTTCTTTTCTTTTTATTTGGCAGATCTTTGACCAGGACTCCTCTTTTCCAAGTGTCATGGGATCTTTAATGGCCCCAGGCGGACGGAACCCCGGTTTTAACGTCTGATCCAAATGACAGCACCTTCAACAACGCGGTACAATCCCGGCAGTGTGATGTCGTGCCGGCAATGCGGGGTTTGAACCCAGAACCGAGCCGGGATGACACACAATGCTGATAGATGCCTGGAAACGATACGTATTAAAGGGAATGCTCAGCGAGCAGGAGAGTGGGTCTACAGCCCGGATGGCTCACTCAGAGAGAGCAAAAAAAAGATCGAGGCTTGATGGATCGTATGGCCTAGTTCTGTGTTGCAACAATACAAGGGATAAGTGCCTGTAATCCAATCGGTTAAGACAACTGAGAGTTCTGCATTTTAAGGAGGCTATTAGCTGAAATATGATACTCTCTATCCTGTTATTTTAATCTACCCAAGTGGCAAAAGTCCACATATCAAAAAAACCCATCAAAAGCAAACATCTGAACACGTTAAATCCAAGCAAAATGATAAATTACAGTGTGTGATCATCAGCACATCCACAAGCAATTCTGGAAATGTGAGGCTCCGTCTCAGCCCAATAAAGGAAATTGAGGAACAGTTTCAACATTTAAGTTTATTGTCAAATAGAAAACCACTGAAATGTTTTCATTAAAGGAAAAACATTTCCATTTGATGGCAATCCAAATTATTCTGTTGTACAGTGAACTCCAGAAAGAACTGAAACTTGATCCACACACAAGAATCCAATTCAAACCACTTTATGATGTTAAGAAATATCAAATCCAAACAGGACAGTTCCGCTAGGTTTTCCATGATCAATGCATCAGTTATTGTTGACTTTTTGCCACAGTATTAAGGTTATTTTCTCTCCCATGGTAGCAAATTTTAGTGGAGGAAAAAAACAAATTTTCTCCTAAAATATTTAGGAATTCAATCTTCACTCAGTAATGGAATAATGACCGCACAACGTAATGTGGATATATGCAAGTGATTTAAAGTAGTTTACAAACAGCCCTGTTCAATCTTTTATATTTAACTGACAAAGCAAGGACTTGACCCAAGACTTGAGGGCTAAAATTAAACCGAATTGTTTTCCCTGTATAATGTGTCCAATATGTGGAAAGAGCCACAGAGTATCACAAAACGGAACAGAAATGTTAGAGAAACAAATAAATTCATGGACGAGAACAATAATAAGCCTTGCATTTGATATAGTGCTTTGTACGTTCAGATGAAATGACCATTTTAAGCGTGCAATAGTCAAGAGTGCTATAGGCAACAACTTGCACGTTTATAGCATATTCCATTTAAGTTAAATATTGCAGAGTTGGGGAACTTGGAGCAGATCACTGCATAGCCTCACGGAACTTATTTTTTTTTTACGAAAAGCAGAAACTGCTTCAAAATGGCACCAAAAATAAACAAAATCTTCACTCTACGAGTGCCAATAATGGAAAATCAGTCCAATCAGGCATTATCGACTCCGGCAGCTAATAAGATTTTAATTGTGTTTCTTTTAAACTAAACGTCGCGTCAAGTTTTCTTTTTTAGACTCGGTTTCCTGATTTCACCCAATTTGTGTGTGTGTGTGTGTGTGGGGGGAGGGAGTGGGGTGGGGTGGGAAAGCGGGAAGGATTAAGAATGATAGAGAAGTAAGAGGGATCTCAGGAAAAATTAACTTGTGTTGCACACTGTATAAAGCAGGCGCATTGCAAGTCGGCTCACCAAAGCTGGAATGTTACTTGCTTCTGGTGAGTTGGCAAGTGAAGCTCTCCAGCGCTGACTACGGCACTGTGCAGTATATAATCACTTGATTTGGTTGTTCCTGTTCTACAGAAGTCTGCTGACATTAATGTAATAACATAAATGTATTTTTGTATATTAGCCAGCCGATTGATGTATATTGGCTGAAAAACATAATCCGAAAAAGCTGTGGTCTGCTCAGCTCCACATCAATGCGAAAGAGCAAGTAGGAGACTGGGCAAACATTGGGGATTATAAATGTTATAAATATTGCTTTCAAATTAGATTTGAATGTTTGAGTTGAAAATCAACCTGTTGGGGATGTTAGGGACCAGAATATTTATGGCTCAAATTGATCAAGACGGAAACGCGACTGTAAAGTTGAGCATTTCGGGTTGGGGAAAGATATGCAAAAGCGTACAGCAAGTGTACGTCTGTGAAAGGATACCGCTTAAATATACAGTACCTATAGAGCAATTACCAAACTTGTGGGACTTAGTCAGAGGATCTATAATTACAAGGCTTTGTTGAGCAACGATAGGGCATTTTAGCAACAATAGCTCGGAGGTGGGTGGAGTTTGCATCTTAGCCACATCTGGTTCTTTTCCTTCATCTTGGATTAGGGCCCAAGTCACAGACCAGGTATCCTTGTAGTAGGATGAGACCGGTTATCTTCAAAGTATATTCATCAAACAGATTAGTCGCTATGCCCCATCTGACTTCACCAAGGGCGAACTCCCGAGGTGGCTTATTCTCGGCTCGTAGCCCTGGGTTCTAGGTCAGATAAGCAGAAAGACTCATTTTGGGAGAAGGAAGTGACATTGCTCTCATGAACTGCAGTCCAATTTTAGGAAATTGCATCATCACCCGTTTCCACCATTTTTCTTGAACACGACAGTAAGAATTACGTTTTCTGAGATTGATGCTTGCGATGATTTCCATCACTTTTGCAGTCAACTGCACCACAGTTTCAAATGGGGGGGGGGGGGGGGGGGGTGTAGGTAAGTGAGATGCTGGGCTGCGTTTGCTTCAGAACAGCCCAGGTTTATTTATAAGTTTTGAATAAAATGTCTTGATTTTAGCAATATATGAATGTAAAGAGATTCCGGCTGAGTTTATTTTTCTCTAGCTATTTGTCGCATGAGAGCTGATAATTTTGACAATTGCACAACAAACCGCCACCCACGCAGTGTTTGAATACCCTCACAAAATTGATGAATGCTGCTGAGTTTCACGGGGCAAGGGCAGCGAAACAGCAAGGAAGGATTTCTGTCCCTCAACACCTCCACCCACCCTCAATTAGGTGATCCAAACTTTTTTTGCAGCTGTCAGGAATTGTGCGAGTCCCCTTGATCCACCTTGGCAAAGGGAGTAGCTTCTGGTCGAGAGAAAGTTGGAGCCTGAGATTATGGGCTCTCGATCCAGCGGGAAAGCCTGCAACTGTTTGCTGTCGTCCGGGCAATAATGTGAAGGCAGTGAGTGAGAGAGAGAGAGAGAGTGTGTGTGCCTGATTTCTTGCAGAAGAGTGTACAGAATGTTATTGCTGTGGATGCAGGAAAACTGTTAACTGTTGAAAGACTAACATTTGGAATCTGGAAGAAAGCTGTGCCGTTTATAGGAAAGGGCGAGGGAATAAAAGAACAGAGAGCTTAAAAGAGGAAGAAAGCAGAGAAGGAACGAATAATAGTAATAATCCTTGCATTTCATATAGCACCTTATCATGTCTTCCAGACGTCTCAAAGCTTCACAGAACGTACGGTTAAGTGAATTGACTGTGTTTCTGTGGGTGAAATGGGGCTCATTGAATAACTGCAATGCTTGCAACCTGTTTGAACACAACTTTTTATTCTTCTTCTTCCTCCAAGCTCAGTGCTCTTGGCTTGCTCTCAATGGCACTTTGGACTGTTTCCTATCTACTGAACACACAGTATATTTTGCTTAACTGGGGAGCAGACTACATTGCACTGCCACTCAGTGGCCAACTCATTGTTCCCAACTACCTTTTATATCAACTCGGAGCTCGCCTCGCAAGCGAGAGGACCTGGGTTTGCTAAGGCGCTATGTCAAATGCAGCGATTATTATCATTATTATTAGAATTCTAACTATAACTATAATTCCATTCATCGTTACACGCGCCACCTTTGGTAATGTCGGCTTTGATATGGATTTCCAGTATTCTCATGCATCGCCAAAACCGCTACATTAAACCCTAACCCTGAATGGATTTTGTCAGCCAAGTCCGTGCATTCAGTCCCAATTGGACTCACTGCATTCAGTGAAGGCTGCAATAAAAAAAAAACTGCTAAAACTAGCAAATCGTGTTCCTCGCTTAGGTTTCCCATTGTGCAAAAACGGGATTTATGTTTCATTTTAAAAAAAATTTATCTTTTACAAAACTCGAATGAGGTCCAATCGGATTCTGTTTCTTGCGTGATCAATATCCAGCACTTTAACTTCCACTCTTTCACCTGGACCGAGTCCCAGACTTCTCCTTCGTTTAGATGGAGGTAGCTTTCCCGCAGTTATACAACGCATAGGGATCAGGCCTGATCTACCCACACCTACGTCGACAAAGACCCCAAAGAGAGTAGCATTTTCCACTCTTCCAGTCAGAATAGTCCCAATCTTCAGGTCAGCAAGCGAGACGATGGATCTTTTAAAATCGTGTTGCTCAAATCCTGCATTAAAATAGAAAATAAAGATTAATAGCAAAACCTGTGCCTTTCTTTCTCTCATTCTTAACATATCTTTTAAGTCTGAAAATAAAATACGTACGTTAAAGCTCTCCCACCTGTACCTTTTCAATTGCACTAATCATCGAAGCTGCAAAGAATTAAGCACTGAACATAAAATAACAAAAACAAAGGATCGTGCATGAGCTCAAATAAGAGTCGAATTCTTAGGAAAGTTAGCATTACAGTTGATATTTTGAGCTGTGAGTCACTCCTGAGGGTAGACTGAAGTCACCTTACAACCAGCCCACTTGCATAGGTAGAAAGGGTTTGAATTTTTAATAATGCCCAGAATGTTGAAGTGTTTCAAAGCATTTCACAGTAATCACTGTCATGCGTAGTAAATAATAAGGATTACATTTGACTTAGCCCCTTTCAGGTCAGGAGGAAGCCTCAAAGAGCTTCACAGGATATACTGTAAAGTGTAGGGACTATTTTGTATTGGCCCCTTGATCTCATGGCTCCAGGATATCCACCTCACCATCTTCCTATTACAGCATAAGATGTTTCTGAAACCAGCCCAATGGTGGAATAGAGCCATGTAACTTCTTGTTCTAGTGCAATAGGTTTGAGGCTAATTGTTGCTCTTTGCTCCATTTTCCAGCATTCGTACACTGTTGCTGTGATGTATATCATATATATGGAGTCATGTAGCTCAGTGGTTAGAGCACTTGCCTCACAAGCGCGATGATTCCTGGGCATGGTGAAACGTTGGGCAAGTTTCCTTATTCCACACACCTGTTTACCTAGAGGTAAGTAGGAACCCGGTTGTTGGTCAAATTGGCGGATCGCTTTTCCGGAGGCAATAATCCTTTCAAATCCAATTAAATAAATAATAATTTCGCCACTCAATCCACGACTGTTTGTGGGACGCTGCTGTGTGCAATTGGCTGCCGTGTTTCGCTCACAAAATACAATCAATTCACTTTACAGTATGTTCTGTGAAGCGCTTTGAGCCGTCTCCAAGACGTGACAAGGCGCTATGTCAAATACAAGGATTATTATTATTCTATATGATATATTAGTACTCCAAGGTGCAATTGTTGATGAATGAAGTTCTACTTCTTGGCCTGCCTTTAAAAATTAATTTGATTAGTTTTTCCCTGCCTCTTCATTGGTGGGTCGGTGGGGGGAGAAACATAAATAGGGTCATGGACCTGAAACTTTGACCCACTTTCTTTTCCCTATAGATGCTGCCTGACCTGCTGAGTGTCCCCAGCAATCTCTGTTTTTGTTTCAGAAATACTTCCTTGCTGTTTCACCGTCCTTCCCCCATGAAATTCAGCAGCATTCATCGATAATGACTATTGTGGCAATCACAGTAATGTCTACAAACAGCCACAAAGTGAATGGCCAATTTTATTTAAGGGGATCGTTGACCACTACACTAAATAACTAAATATCCTGGAATTTGACTTAAGGAACAAAATGTTACACTTTTCAGGAGTTCTTTAGTGCGAATAATAAGTCTGGAAAGGCGCTATATCAAAGGCAAGGATTAATATCATCATTCAGTTATCTAATTCAACTGATCTAACTGCCTTTCACATTGCTGCTGTACGATCGGAATGTGCGCACATACGTTATTAGTCCTACTTACATCATTTACAGTGTGAAAAGAAAAGTGAAACACAACAAACACAGCCATCAGCCCTTTCTGTTTGAAAAAAAACAGAAGGTTGTGAATCAACCTCAACACAGTGGCAATGTTACACCAGCTGTACCCCATTGTTCAGACATCAAATCCTTTTCCCGAGCTCAGCTTTCAGCAGCGGGATCTAATATGCAGCGATTCTGAATGGGGTTCCTGAATAACAAAACAAAGTGTGTCTTGCTGAATCGCCAGAACTTTGCTCTGATGGTTTACGGTTTCAGAGTACAGCTCCTGAGGGTTGACTTGCTGCCAGTTACCGGAAGGACTATCCATTGTAATTCTTTATTAAGGAACTCCGTTACAAATTGTCACATGTTCGAGTTTTGCGACTAATAGATCTCAGTGAGTATGGTGGAAGCTAGGAGATGTCCACGTATAGAAATGCTTCCCCCCTGCCTCGCCGTAAGTTATCTAAAAATAAAGTAAAATACTTCCAACACAATTAATGAAGCACCAGTGTTGGTGAATCAGTGGAGCGGGAGCACATTAGCATTTAAACTGCATTAATAATCCATCTATGTAAAGTATTTGGCCAAACACAACATAGAAAATAGAAGTCGCTCTAGGTGGCTGAATGCAAAACATCCAATGTGATGAGTTACCTATGCTTGAAGACTGTTTTTGAAAATAAACCCAACACAGCTCCCTGTGGGATGAATGCATCCGCACAGGAGGTGGGATTAGATCGACAACCCTTTCTATAATTAATCGCTGGCAGATAGGAAATTCCTCGAATTCCTTTTCATTTCCCTCACCCTCCAGTGAACATGCTCTCATGCTTGAAAATGGTTCCACAAGCATCAGCTGTACAACAGCTCCGTCATGGTCATTCATTTGGCACATTGGCAAACTACTGAACTGCAGGGAACGTCACAGCTTATCTTGAAACGTCCCTCATCCAATGTTGGCATACACACTTATCTAGCATGTGTCACTGTGTAGCTATAAGGACATGAAACCTGGGTGTATTTTTCCTTTCCCTTGTCCATGGCACTGATATCGTATGTTATGTTCGAACCATTGTCCAGTTAAGATCAGCTAACCCAGGACTGATCATGAATCAAACCTGACCTAATTTCTGACCTTATATCCCAAGTGGTACATGTACTCCATGAGCTACCAGAGGAACGGACAGATTTTTATAAATCCACCAATATTCTCTGGCTCTCTCTTGTGACCTGAAAGGAAATATCAATAACTTGCAGTGACAGCTTTTAACCTGACTGGTGACAAACCAGTCAACTTCAAAAGACTAGCGTGAGAACAAGCCCAACTACAGTAGACTTTCAAACACCACGAAAGCCAACACAATCGCTGAGGTTGAGTGAGTTACGGGCTATAACAGGATCTCAAATCCAGATGTGTTCACACACGATGACTTTCAATCCTGTAGTATGCATCAGTTTTCCAAACTTCACACACAAATGTCAAATTTATAAAGGAAATGTTTTTGATGCTAAAAATGTAAATTCAATGCAGCTTTATTCTTTATCGGAAGCTATTTTTCCCATTGTTACCACAACACCACAAGCTCCCTATTCCACCATACCCACCTCCGATCTTATCCTTGGGTTAGCTGGTGAGGCAAGACACTGTGACGCCAATCATATAAAAATTTGAGCGGGACTTCATGTAGGCATGTTTTGCATCAAAAGATGATGCAGTTGGAACTCATTACCTGCTCGAATGTCGTAGTCATGAGGCTGTTTCAGTCCATCAATAATCATCTGTAGTGTAGGTACAGCTGTGTTAAGCTTCTGAGCAACGACATCCAGTGAACTAGTTCGTAGCAATTGGTTCACCTTGCTCTCCATACTAGGCTTCCCAAAATCACAGAGCTTCCCGTCAATGGTAGATAAGAATCTGGAGTTTTAAAGACACAAAGGTAAATATAGTAAAAACATTCAAACCGTGCATGGGGTTGTATCTGTAGTCTTTCTTCCCAGTCCGACGTGTGACAAATGAGACAGATCATCGCGGTCTGTCCTCACCCTGCACACAATGCCACCCTTTGCATTGTGAGTAACGTTTTCTGCCTCACGCAGTACGGACCGTTGGCTGAGAGATCAGCAAAATAATCAATATAGCACAGGCTTGGTCAATTGCATTATCACACCAAACACGTACCTTGTGTGACTAGCGCTTTTTGTCACACACTCATGTACTGTCCAACTCTACAAGGTTTAATGGGCAGCCTCTTGAAAATACGGTGGCCATAGATATTGCTTGCCTTTGACAGATTTCATAACCACACAGATGGTACACACCAGCATAACCACTTGAAATTAGTACTAATATAACATTACCATAATAACAAATAGTAAAGTTGAAGTGAGTTATCGTCTGTAACACAGTCTCAGGATTCCGATGACATTTAGAAACCAATTAAGGATCATTCGTGTGATTTAGGACATCATCTAAAATATTCAACTGTATATTACAGTCTATGCTCCACTCAAATATCAGGGTTTCTAATGTCATTTGTTCCAGAAGCAGTTACAGCAATATGTTAAAGAGAATTTTCAAGGGAAGCTTGACTTGCATGTTCTCCCATAACTGAATGCAATATATGCTTAATACTGTACCCAAACACTTTACTGACCATATTCAGATAGGAAAACAAATCTGCCAGTCCCCAGCTTAAAACTCCGAATGGCTGTAAATTTCTATTGCTCTTATGTTGCATTCATTAAATCAATACATAAAACATAAATCTAGATCTCTCTCGCATTTTTCATGCAAATTCTACCCACTTATCCACACTGTAGCTTCTCAGGTCCTGTGTACTGTAAGTGTTCTTTGATAAGAAAATAGTGGTCTTCTCTTACAATCGGTTACATTTCGTTAGGAAAGATGTGAACTTCAGAAACCTTCAGCTTTTGTAAACGATATAGTGGTTACGATTAGCAATTTATCACCCGATTAAAGGGGCCTCTTTAATTTTGTACTGTGGGCAATCCAAAAAGGATATGTGCTTCAGAACCAAATGACCTTCTATTTGTTTTGGCTCGTGTATGATACAATTTCAGACTGCATTGTAATGGTGAAGGATTACTCCAGCAGTCAGCAGGTTTTATCCAAATACATGGCCATTGTTTTCCGATCCACACTCAAAAAAACAGGGCTTTGCATTTATCACAAAACAGTGGCGTTCAGCTTCCTACTCTCAAATAGCCAGGTTAAATTTATCTTCAAAACTACATGGATTCATAACTAAATGAAATGCATTTCAACGGCAGGAAATCGAGAAGAAAGCTCAGGAAAGCAAAGCCGGTCTCTTTGCTTTTTTTTGCTTTAAATTAAACCTAATAAATTGCCCTGTTTGACAAAGAGGTTCATTTATGTAAGTAAATTGCTCATCAAGACAACGAAAACCTAGTCCTTTGCTATAGTGAGCTTGTGGCCACGTTTACTCTGGGATGCTACCTACCCCACATAAAGGGGCGCTAATCAAATGCAAGTTGTTGTTCCTTCCGTTCCATTATTATTAGATTTCTGCCCATATTTTGCATTCGACAAGCAAGTTGAAATTGTTCTAAATTGTGGCAATTTGCAAAAAGGGTAATTTCGACTTCCTCGGTTGGTCTGGGTGGTCATATTGAGTGTCGGAGATTTCCGACAAGTATATAAAAAATGAGAGAAACGCTTATTTCCCCACGTTTGTCCACTTCACTCGCTGACCGTTTTTTTCCTGTCTGCACTTTGGTGGCTTTCTGAAACCATAAGAACGTAAGAAATGCGAGACGAAAAAAGACCCGCGTCCATCTAGTTCGTTTTCCACCTTCCTGGCGCTCGCATGCACACATGTCCCGAACTCCCTATGTACTATATCCCATGTTATTTCCTAAAAGAGAGCCATCTAATCTGTGTTTGAAAGAATCAACGCTTCCTGCTTCAACCGTCTCCCTCGGGAGCCTGTTCAACAGGTTCACTATTCACTCACTGAAATAGTGTTTGTGTAGATTTACCCCTCTTTCAATCGTAGGCCATGTGTCCTCTGGTTTTACTCTTCTGGACAAGTTGAAACAGCCTGTCATGATTTATATTGTCTTGCCCCTTTAGAATCTGAAAGCCAGCAATCATGTCGCCTCTCAATAACATAACACAAATCACCTACCCTGACTGCCCAGGATGACTGCGATAGTTCAATTTAGCATTTCCCACACCTTTTCCGAATTTCTCAAATTAGGCCTCAGCTTCAACAGAAGTATATTCATGCTGGAAAATACTTTCTAAATGTAATGTACACTTTTACAGAAAAAAAAATAAGACCAATATTCCATGACAGCAGGAATGTTGGCAACTCTAGAGATTTGACAGAGTTTACTCAGGAATCTCATGCTATTTATTAACTAATGTGTTTCTTGCATCAAGAAATTTGAAGCTTATTTGCAAAAGGGAAACTCTAGATCCTTCAAATAAATAAAATGGCAAATTTCTACGGTTTACTCACAACCACAATTCTCTGCTAGGTGTACTGATCCGTGGTGCTGCTGTGTTCTGGAGAGATTCATTTCACGCCAGAATACAACATAATGAAGTCTTCTACTTGTAACGCACTATGTAAGATAACTTCAACAGTGGACAAATATAATTTCTTGCACTTGATACAGCATCTAATAAGCTTTGAAACATCTCAAAGCACTTTACAGGCAATTACTGTCAGATCTGGTGACTGTATTTATAATCAAAAATTCTGTTCAAATAGCCTTGCTTTCAGCTAGCCCTATAAACAAATACCACAATTTTCACTGATAACAGAAGAAAAATTCCATGAAACGAAAGTAGGTGGCAAGCACTTAATGCGTCCTATGCAGAATGGTACTGCCCGAAGTAGCAGCAATGGCATTTTCTATTACTTTAAAGATTGCATGGAACAAAGCTGATATTTTTATAACACGACGAAACATGTTGGTGTCAGGCTGACTCAGTTGGTAGCATTTTAGTCCAAGTCGTAAGGTTGTGGGCTCAAACCCCATGTCGGGACTTTGAACTCATAGTTTCGGCTGACACGCAAATACAGTGCTGGGGGGTGGTTGCACTGCATAAAATAACATCCCCGCCTGCCTGTTCAGGTGGACGGTAAAGATTCCAAAGCACTATTCAAAAAGAGAAGGGAGTTCCTCCCAGGAAGCTGACCAATAACTCACCCAAATAAAATAAGCCATTCACTTCATAGCTGTCTGTGGGATATTGCTGTGCGCGAATTGGCTGCCGTGTTTGCCTACAAAACAAAGTCACTACACTTTACAGTAAATCTTATTAAGCGCTTAGGGATATCTGAATGATGTGATAAAAGTGCCATATCAAATGTCAGGATTATTATTGTGACAGTGTAATGGAGACGTTCGCTTATAATAATTCATATTCGATTCCATTTCAATCGTTACAACTGGGAAGCTCTGAAATATTACAGGTGACCACAGACAGATGCATAGGCGACCGAAGTAATCTGTCATTCAGCCTCCTGCTGCAGTGAGCAGTTTTATCCGCTGTGAAACATCTTTCTTTAAAGGTTTTCTGTACTCATCAAGGACATTGGAAACCGAGTTTAAAACTGGCTGCAGACTGGAGTGAAGGCAGAGGCGAAGATGATAGGTCAGAGGCAGTACACAGCAGCACTTGGATTATAAACAAAGAACACGGATCATTACAACACAAGGTCACTTCTGAGAAACAGGCGAGTCTTGTTTTTTTTTGAACTTGGCTTTTGGCCATTATAAATGAAGTGGTGATCACTAAAGTCTAACGTATGAGGAAATGCAATATTAGAAATGTATTTTTCTAAAGCAAGACGAGCCCCAGTTTAAAATTACATGTTACATAACCTACTGTAATTCAAAACAATTTTCAAAATGGTAATAGGCATTGCAGAGGGATTCGGTAGTCAATCTGAAAACAGAAAATGCATAACTTTTTTTGAAAAAAAAACATGAACAAACTAAACCCCATCTTCGCACTGCATTCAGTAAAGTTTCTTTTCTCTATTGAAACAATAGGAAATAGGTACTTGTCTACATATGTAGACATAGACTTGGGATAGTATGGCAAAGTAATCATTGAAGCAACACAGAAGTTTTTATGCAGTTTCATTTCTTCCAAGGATCTACGTCTTGTGAAACCGGTCAACAATAAATGAGTGAAATGAAAAACCCATCAGCCAAACAATCCCAAACTAGAAAAACATTCACAACATCGGTCTTGTTCATTTACAAACTCATTTAATTCTAGACTCATCACAAGGAGAACTCATTAAAATGCCTCTTTACAAAGCAATATTTTAGAATTGAAATTTCAATGGTTTAGTAATTATCTGTAATATGAAATATACCTTTTCCCCCTAACAAAGCACACATCCTTGTAAGCACAACGCCACAACAGCTCCTCCTGTAATATACGTCTTCGAGGAGCTAAGTACGAGGCAGGTCTCAGCGAGCGTCTTCAAACTGACAAGCTCTTGCTTTGAATAAAGCATTATTATTTTATAAAGATGTTACTTTCTTCCATTTCTACAACAATAACAAATTGTATTTATTTAATGCCTTTTGTGTCGGGAGAATGTCCCAAAGCGCTGGAGACGTCCGCTGCAACAGGGAGGGTCAGAACACAGATCAAACCTCTACAGCCAGTTCCCAGCGATCTGGGAAAAAGCATAGCAGGCACAGTGCACCCCACTGCATGATGAGGCAGCCTTTGCAACAACTTTTTAGAGTTCTGGGAGCAGAATATTATATATAATACATATATACACACACATACATACACACATATCTATTTTTATACACACACACACATACAATATACCTTCTCTCTCACACGCGCGCATACACATAAAATATATATATTTTTAAAACATAATTGCT